TGTAAAGGCAGCTAACTCTTCTTTAGATTGAATCATCCACATATTTTAAACTTGCAGAAGTTCTTATTGTACAAAATATGTCATTTCTGATTGGTCTTCTGAACATGGATGTAATGGAGATAGGAAAATGAATTTGCTGTTATATTTGCCTTGATGATGATGATATCTATCCAGCTGTGTCCAACTCTTGGCTATTCTATGGCCAGGTCTCTTCACATCTTCCCATCTTTGGTTATTCGGGAATAACCAAAGACATATATATATATGTTTTCTGAGGTTTTCGCGGGTGTTTGTATGTAGGTCTTTGGTTATTCGGGTTTCCTCCCACGTCAAATTGGAAGTGTCTTGGAGATGTTTCGACAAAGTCTCATTCATCATCTTCAGGCTAGTGTTTTCGGCTTCGTGCTTCTAGGAGCAATGTGTGATCGTAGCTGTTTCTTCCTTTTAACTGCCAGTGGGGGTATGAACTGATTGGATGAGAGCTTGGCTGTGTTCTGATTGGATGGAGGTGTGTTCTGATTGGTTAGGAGCTTGGCTGTGCTCTGATTGGATGGGGGGTTGGCTGTCCTCTGATTTGATGGGGGTTGGCTGTGCTCTGATTGGTTGGGGGAGTGTTCTGTTTGGGTGGGGGCTTTGTTTGAGTTGCACGGGGATGTGAGATGGTGAGCTGCACTGCTATTGTTTGGCTTCGCGTTCGTGGTCGTGCCTCATCTTCACGGTGGGTGTCAGTTTGCTTCATGTATGGATTGGAGGGGTTTAAAGTGGCTAATGATGCAGCTGTGGTCTGGCTTCTGGTTTGTGGTCGTGCCTCATCATCGGTGTGGGTTTGGGTTTGCTTTTTGCGTGGACGTGTGGTGGTGACATCCTGTGTGGTTTTTGTGAGTGTGGGTCTGGTGTCATTCTTTGTGTTAGGGACTCATTTGTCAATAAGGGCGGGTTTCCAAATGGCTAGTAGGCGGGAGGTATCATCTCGTTTGTTCATGCTGTGTGGGCGTTTTTCTATCTCAATGGCTTCTCTGATTAATCTGTTATTAAAGTGTTCAATTTTGGTGATAGTTCTGGTCTTTTTAAAGTCAATTTCATGTCCTGTGATTTTAAGGTGTTGGACCAGGGAAGAAGTTGGTTCCTCTTTTTTGACTGAGTTCTTAGAAGAATAAGTGCACGCACTGAAGAACATAAGAACTCAGTCAAAAAAGAGGAACCAACTTCTTCCCTGGTCCAACACCTAAAAATCACAGGACATGAAATTGACTTTAAAAAGACCAGAACTATCACCCAAACTGAACATTTTAATAACAGAATAATCAGAGAAGCCATCGAGATAGAAAAACGCCCACACAGCATGAACAAACGAGATGATACCTCCCGCCTACCAGCCATTTGGAAACCTGCCCTTATTGACAAACGAGTCCCTAACACAAAGAATGACACCAGACCCACACTCACAAAAGCCACACAGAATGTCACCACCACATGTCCACGCAAAAAGCAAACCCAAACCCACACCGATGATGAGGCATGATCACAAACCAGAAGCCAGACCACAGCTGCATCATTAGCCACTTTAAACCCCTCCAATCCATACATGAAGCAAACTGACACCCACCGTGAAGATGAGGCACGACCACGAATGCGAAGCCAAACAATAGCAATGCAGCTCACCATCTCACATCCCCGTGCAACTCAAACAAAGCCCCCACCCAAACAGAACACTCCCCCAACCAATCAGAGCACAGCCAACCCCCATCCAATCAGAGCACAACCAACCCCCCATCCAATCAGAGCACAGCCAAGCTCCTAACCAATCAGAACACACCTCCATCCAATCAGAACACAGCCAAGCTCTCATCCAATCAGTTCATACCCCCACTGGCAGTTAAAAGGAAGAAACAGCTACGATCACACATTGCTCCTAGAAGCACGAAGCTGAAAACACCAGCCTGAAGATGACGAATGAGACTTTGTCGAAACGTCGCCAAGACACTTCCAATTTGATGTGGGAGAAAACCCGAATAACCAAAGACCTACATATATATACATACATACATAAACATACATACATACATACATACATACATACATATATAATTCTCTTTCCTGTTTCTCTGTTTAAAGCAATTTTACATGTTCTCAATAATTTAGGAAAAGTGCTTATTCCTCAACTATAGCATTTGTGAACAGGAAATTAAAAAAAAACACTATGCAAGCTTTGTCAGCGCTGGTAAGGAGGGAACAACATTCAAATATTCACATACAGAGAGAGACACTCAGAGAGACATACACACAGACACCACAGTTCCTACTGTTGGGAAATTGATAGTTTTTCTATTAGGAAGAGCAAGATTGATGCTGAAAAGAGGCAGAAGCAGCCCCTGCCTTTCTTGAATCACTGCCATTTTCCATCTGTTGGGGGACAGAGTTGTAAATATTGTGAACCCCCTAAACTAATATTCTGACCTTAGGTGCACTGGAAGATACTATCATCTTACTGGTTGCAGTTCGGTTCATTAATGTACACGGAGGGATGCCAGCTTACCTGTTGCCTATGTTTGGCTGGCACAATAAACATAAGAAGATAAGCAATGATTACAGGAACAGTTCCCAATCATGGTAAGTTCCTGCAATTATTGAACTATCACTATGGGGGAAAATAAAAAAGAATTGCCATTGTGAATTAGCAAAATTGGCCTCCGTGAAATAAGTCATGCCAACTTTCCTGTTCAGTTTGGATTACACCTGGGATATTATACTCACTGCATGGTTTGGTACCATACAACTTGTAGTAACCTCCACCTAAATCTAAAGAGATGAATATTTTAGTAGCCAGAGGGTAGTTTCGTACTATAGTGAACCTTTGATCTACTGGATCTCAGCTTAGAAAGCTTTGAATTTGATCGACAAAATCTATTCATGTACTTTTGTATATGCTTCTATACATGGGCAAAATCCCACTTGCCATTTTATATTTGCATAAAGTTCCATTCAGTCTTAATGGGAAATCTTCTTTAACTAATATCTCACAACTGCCTGTTACTATTTGTTTCTTTTTTTTCTGCCGCTGGCCAAAAGCTCAGCAATATGAACAGTTGACCAGATAAGTACTTTTACATTTTAATTTTTTGTGTGAAATTTCTATAGAAGCAGTGGTTTTCAGAGAGGGTATTTTAGGCTAACTCACTTGGCCATTAGATTCTTGTAGGAATTAAAGTGTTGTCAGACTTCATCAGATTATTTAGCAATAAATTCTGAGTCTTTAGGACAGGAGAAGCTTCTCAGACTTGACATGGCTTAGATCAGTTGATCATTGCAAATAAAAATGAAGTAATCTGTTGTGAATATGCCCACACGCACATACACATTTGTATTTGTGTCACATCACACATGCAGATGGACAAAGAAGATCTGGGAACATATATGTCAGTGTCAGAGTTTAAATCCTAGCCTTTTTCTCCTGTTGTTTTGTGACGGTGGAGTTTTGGTAATTCTTTTCCTAGTCTTGAAAATTGGAGATATCTACTCCCTTTTTATATTAATATATCTGTCTGACCAGTGAATCATCGATTCCTGCTTCACCAGCAGTAGTCCTCATAGTAGTGGACATTAGATAGCCAATAAGGTAATCCAATTGTATAGCATTTAGGTGCAGTGAATAAATGGTGCACTTTTTGTAGATTTAACCTGTTACATGTTCAATACCTATGTAGAAATGCAGTTATATACTCAAGCTTCAACAGACGTAACAGATAACCAGCCTCATTTTATATTTATTTCTGAGGAGTTCAGAAATAGGTGCTTATGAAATTACATTGAGTATCATGTTCCAGGCAGAATATTTCTACTCGGTAAGAGCAAAATGCTTCTGCTAGATCACATATCCAATGAATGTTATTGAAATAGACAAGTGGGGGGGGGACTTTTTTGGGGGGGGATCCCATGGACTATTCAAGTTTTTCTGTTTGGTATAAAAATGAAAATTGTAATGAGTTAAATGACTACAGTTGACAAGGAACGTTTGGCCAAAATTGGTCAGAGGACTAATTCCATACTGTAGTACTTTGAGGATTTTGACTTCAATGCAGTCAAGTGGAAGATTAGTTAAGATGGTTCTTATTGCTTGTTTCTCATGTGATGTAAAATCTTCAGTTTAGTAAAAAATATCCAACTGAAACATTTAACAAATTGAGCTTGACAAACAGCCTCTGTTCATACAGCTTTGCATAGTTGATGTTATAACAGTATTGGTCTTTTGCTGTTGTTTTTATTATTTGCCATTGCTTTTTCCATGATAATTTTTCTAGATGAATATTTAATTATTAAAGAGAGCCATTAGGACATAGACTGATACAAAATATGGTGATACAAAATATGTGGAAATCACACAATCCAAGTTATAATTGTTGTTAGATTTTTCAGAGTCAAACAAAGCAACCCAACCAAAAATAATGCACAGAAGAATCTTTAAACATTAAGGTTTTATACGGAATTATTATATTACAATGTTATGAAATCAGTAGAGAGCATTTTTGTTTTTCAGTACATAATGGTGAGCAAGATTTAATATTCTCCCCCCATACCCACACATTTTCTCTTACTCTGACTTTATATTTAAATTTTACTATAGTTTTTTCTCCATTTAATATGTGTAGGTTTAATTCCTTGTTCTTTTATATGGAGAAATTACAGTTCTCTATTCTTAATCATAAAAAATGCATTAATTCTCTTTCTCTCATAATTTTAATTCTAGAAAGCTTGCTGCTAGACATTTCAATGTTTATTATGGTACTCATATGAACTAATTAATTAGGCCATATCAATTCATGAGATCTTTTGCAAAATAAAGTGTCTGGTTCCTTATATCTTTATATTTTGTCTGTAGATTGTATCAACAAGTAGGATGAGTTAATTATCTAATGCTATGTTTTTGTATAATGTAATCATTTAGTGTTTATTTTATTGTGTGTACCTTCTACTCAGAGGGTTGGCATTATTGTTCCTAACAGTGATGGATACAAGCAGATCATGCCCTATGACCTCTACCATCCTCTTCCTCGGTATGTAAACCAAATGTTCCATTTAGCAATAAGAAAATATGTTATTGTGTGTTTTATTGGCAAGCTAACAGAGTGACAGTCATTCACCAGTCACATGTTCTTAATTCTGGTGCTTTTTCTGCATTGTTTTCTGTTTTTCTTTACAATTCAAGTAAAATACAATTTTCTTTTGTACTAAGTATTTATACAGAATAATTGTTCATGACACAAAAATCAAGGGTTTTTTTTTCCTCCACTGAAAAGTTCACATGAGATTAAGATAAAATTTCATAGTCTTTCTCCTTATGTGGCAACATTGATAAATTTACTAAGTGAGCACTTGAATTTTCATTGGATTTATCTTCTTAATTGCCTTTGTAGTCCAGTCATTAAAAATTGTGTTTAAGGACATTGTCATAACATTAAGAAGTTTTGACAGTTATCTCTTTTTTAGAATTATCATCTTCATTTAAAATATTCAAAAACAAGATTTCACGACTCACATAAGTCAGTTGTTTGAGACCTTAGTGTCAGATTGATGCTATTGAATACCAGATCTATCAATAAAGACCTTCTTGGTCATTGATCTAATTGTACACAAATATATAGAGATGGTGTCTATCACTGAAACCTAGTTATGTTAGAAAGGTGAGAAGGATGAAGATATACCTATCTGGATTTCCTGAGTTGCATCAGTCTCAACCCCCAAAAAGCGGAGGTCAAGTGGCATTGTGTCTAGGCAGATCCTGATGATAACTGGAGCTCTGTCCTATAGGTATCTGGTGAGGGCCCCTATATATGCAGTGGGGTTAAGAGAGAAACCAGGAATTTTTCTCTTGTACCATCTTTCCAACTGTAGTAGCATCCCTGCTTGAACCATCTTGTGTTGGTTCATATGTATACATATAAATATATATGCTTAGGGGGGAAAAAAGAACATATGATTTCTGATTACTGGGCTAAAGAAACTTCTCAAAGTAGGAAATAATAATGTACTGTATTGTTCAAAATACATGAAAATGCTTTCAAATGTCCAACAGCTGAATCACCAATATAGGTGAAACAATGTTTTTAATGGAGTGTGCTATTAATTCCTACAGAATATAGTTTAAGTAATTGCAGATAAACAGTTTTCCCCCTCTTTGGTAAGTTTCATTATTGTTTTTTTACACGATCCTGTTCCTTCTGAATTCTTTTAAGAATAAATATTATTTGATTCCAAGAATCAGGAAGAATATCATTGAGTGCTTTAAAATCATTCTAGTTTTTTAAGAGTCCAAAAATTAACCTAATATACATTTTGGATGTGTTAGGATGGTGCCTTTCTGAGTTCTGGGAGTTTCAGAACTCATCTGAAACATACTAGATTGGGGAAACCTGCCAAAGCTATTTTAATTATTTGCTAGTAGTTTTTTTACTGACCTTTCAAAGTTACAACGGCACTGAAAAAAGTGATTTATGACTGTTTTTCACAGTTACAACTTTTCCAACATCCCCATGATCATGCAATCAAAATTCAGATGCTTGGCAACTTTATGACGGTTGCAGAGTCCCAAGATCATGTAATCACCTTTTGAGATCTTCTGATAAGCAAAGTCAATGGGGAAACCAGGTTCACTTAGCAACCGGGTTACTAACTGAGTCAAGAAAGGTTGTAAAATGGGGTAAAATTCACTTAACAAATGTCTCACTTAACAACAGAAATTTTGGGCTCAGTTGTGGTTGTAAGTCAAGAACTACCTCCATTTAAGAAAATTTATATGGCTGCCCACTCACTCTCAGTGACTCTGGTGTACAAAAATAAAAATCCAATATACAAACAATAAAGAATACCCACCATCCCACTCTGGGTTCCTAGGTCTTCAGGGCCTTGTACAAGTGTCAAAGTGAGGGCCAATCTAATCTCCACAGGGATGATATTCCCAAAGGAGAGAGCCATCACAGAGAAGGGCCTTCTTCTGAATCCCGACAGATGTACCTGCTTAGAAGAGGAGACCTGCAACATTCCCAGCCTCCCTGCCCTGGTGGGTCGGTAGATATGACTAGGAAAATATGGTTCTTCAGATAACCTGGTCCCAAGCCATGTAGCTCATGGAAGGTGACAACCAGCACCTTGAATTGTACCTGGAAGCAGATTGGTAGCTAATCAACTCCTGCAGGAGAGATGACATCTGCGGACATCTGGGTCTGCTCAAGACCATGTGGGCCGCTGCATTTTGAACCAATTTGAGCTTCCTGGTACTTTTCAAGGGCAGCCCCATATTGCAAGTCAAGATGGTAAGTGGCTAGGGCATGAGTGACATACATACACACACAGAGAGAGAGACATATTGTACATACATATACAATATTTGGAAAATCTACAGGTAATAAAGAAGAAGAGCTTCAAAGTTTCCTTAGTGTTATGTACAGTAGTATGGGGCTATTGAAGGGAATTCCAATTTCCTATGAAAGATACAGTAGCTTACTTAGTTTATGTCATGTCACAAACTCATTCTTAAACTCAATCTTCTTCATCAGAATTGGACATTTCAAAGCCAAGTACTGGCTGATAGACCATTGGATATGTAAGCAAGTAATAGGGCAGGGCTTTGCTACTTCTACTAGGGAAATGCCACTACAGACTAAAGTACTTGTGGTTACACAGACCAAATATGGTGCCTTTCCTCTGAACTGTATGTTGTTTTGAAGGTGGGAAAGCACCCCGTGGACTGCCTGCTCTTCTTCCTGCGGGGGAGGCATTCAAAGTCGCACAATCTCTTGCGTGGAGGAAGACATCCAGGGATTGGTCAGCTCTGTGGAGGAGTGGAAGTGCATGTACACTCCCAAGATGCCCATTGTTCAGCCTTGCAATATTTTTGATTGTCCTAAGTGGCTGGCTCAGGAATGGTCTCCGGTAATTATCTTCTTTTCATTATTGAAATATATATTTAAAGTAGCTGAAATGAGGTCATTGAAATGTCTGTATTATGAAAATACTTACAATTCTGTCAGCATTAGTATACATATATAAGTACAGGAATGAAAAAAATGGCTAGGTTAATTAAAGGATATGCAGGGCAAGCTTGTAGACATACTCAGGCCTTTTGAAGATGATGATGATGATGATGGAAGCGACCTTGGAGGTCATCTAGTCTAACCCCTGTTCAGGCAGGAAACCATATACCATTTCAGACAAATGGCTGTCCAATCTCTTCTTAAAAACTTCCAGTGTTGGAGCATTCACAGCTTCTGAGCGCATTCTTAATAAATTATTATTTCTCAAAATTATAGGATAATTTATTCAGCCACAGTGTGCCATAAATTTCAGATGGAATCCCTTAAGGTGAATAACTAGAAATTTACATAATAATTAATAAATCACCAATAAGACATTTTAGTTTTTTGTCATAGCACATAACCCAATAAACTGAGAATGAAATTAAGTGGAATTTAATAACCAGGAATATTTTAATCATGATTTCTTGCAGGACTATGCATGCTTAATTGATTGATTATGTGCCTACCAGTGACGTAGCTGATAACAACCACTTAGACAGACTTTCTGCAGGATGATTTGTCCCCAGTTTGGTCTTTCAGGTCTTCCAATGCTCTATCCATTGTTGCGGTAATCGGCTCCATCAACCATCATTGTTGGTTGCTCTTTTCTTCTTTCTTTCCCAAGATTATGGACTTCTTAAGGGAGTTGGTTTTCTCCTAATGTGTCCAAAATATAATAATTTGATCCTGGCCATTTGTGAGAACTCTATGATTCATTCATTTGTTTGTTTTCAACCATAGTATTCTTGACTCTTCTTCAGTACCAAAGTTCAAAAGCATCAATGTTCTTTCTAACACGTTTCTTCAAAGACCAGCTTTTGCTTCTCTGGAAAGTTGCATGGACAACCACTGTCCACACAATTCTGATCTTTGTAGGTATAGGCTCATCAGGGTTTCTGAATATTTTTCTAAGGCTTTCGTTGCTGCCTTACCAACTGCTAGTCTTTTGTATATTTTTTTATTTCTGACTCCTTTACTGTTGATAGTCAATCCTAAAAGGTAACGGTTGCCCACCTTTTTCATTGTCAGTTCTAAGGTCCTAAACCCTCAGTTTCAGAAAGTGAAGGGAGCAAAGATGAGAAGAATTGCTTTTCAGTAGCAGCACCACCTCTCTGAACAATCTCCCAGAGATCAGACTGCCTGCCTCCCTTTTTGATTAAATTCAGAAAGATGCTGAAAATTGCACTGTTCCATAGAGCATTCTAGTTAGGTTTGACCTTTTTTTATTTTTTATTGATTAATTGCACTGGGGGGGTGGATTTTTAAAAATTCCTTCTCATTGTTATTTTGATTTTGACCACGAATGTTTTAATTTTGTCTGCGTCTTGTAAACTGTTGAGAATTTATTTTGATTGCAGAAGGATATAGATAAGTAAATAATGCACTGATTTGCCTATGTGGTAGAGAGTTTTAGGTGGCTGTAGGCCAAAAATGTAAACGCTGAAGTGTTTGATCAGTAAGAGAAAAAGGAAGAGAACCACCAGTAAGCAACAACAATATATCAGAAGAAAATCTCCCCTAAAAATTTGCCTTGTAGTATCTGAAAGGCTTTCTCCTTGGCAAAAGAGAATTCTTGAATTTCTCTTGGTGGTATTCTGAAGATTACTTTATTGATGGAGTAATGAACAACAGTAATGCATTACGTACATCTTTCCATCAATCTGAAACCTCCTTGGCTAATACACTTCCCAATCTGGAAAAAGGCCAGCCGGAAGAGTTGCATCACAATGTCTTCCTTTGGATCTAATTAGAAATTGGGAAGCTGGGTGGACTGCAGACTCATGGAGACATGTGGTTCATCAAAAGACAGAACACTCATCACTAATTAATAGTCGTCTTGTGACTAAATAAATGCACAAACACCACCCACCACCCATATAACTTTCACTAAAAGGCTTTCTCAATAGAAAGCTATTTAAAAAGCAATTTTTTTCTTTGTTTCAATTGAATGATAATTATTTTCCACAGTATTAATGCCAACAAGTTTACCCTGGGATTGGCAGTTGGTATCAAAAGCCAATACAAACCAAACATTTGGATGGTTGATGATATCTTTCGGGTTCTGTTTCTCTTCCACGTGGCCAGTTAAGGGATTTAGCAGCAAATTTATTCATGGTCATTAATGGAATTAATCGACGATGGTTTTCCTTTCAGTGCACAGTGACATGTGGCCAGGGCTTGAGGTATCGAGTAGTTCTATGCATTGACCATCGAGGGATGCATACCGGTGGCTGCAGTCCTAAAACAAAACCGCACATCAAAGAGGAATGCATTGTCCCTACTCCATGCTACAAGCCAAAAGGTAAATTAACCAGCAACCTAATCCTGGCAAGCAGTTATTGAAAATAAGTGCATTTTTCCCCAGTGGGAAGATGATTGCACTTTTGGGTTGTGTAGTTGAGAGCTAATGCCTTAGGCTTCATTTATTGAGCCAATACTGATTGTCATGCTTTGACAAAAACAGATTTCCTGGCAGGAACTCTAAGCCTATGTAATCACTCTAAGCTCTACTTGTCTGTAATATGGTATCTTTATGGATGGAAGAAAGACAGAGGAAAAGAACTGCTATTACCACAAAGGAAGTAAGAGGGCTAATATATTTTGGTAATAAAATTAGGGACAAATCACTCTTGAGCAGATGTGGATCCACTGATCAAGAATTTAACTTATAAGATCCCTAAAATTGAATTCAGGCTCTAGTAATCACTTCTCTCCTGAACTAACCATACCAACCTTTGGCTGAAAAGTATCAATCCATTAGCCAATAAGTGAATTGTTAATTTTTGTCAAGCACTAGTAAAGAAATAAATAGATTTTCCTGATAAATGCCTTTCAGGAATTAATGGTAGCATAAATACCTCATTATAATTCTGTGTAATAAAAAGGCTACAGTTGCTGTGATTATGGTTATTTAAAGAGCAGGATCCATCTTTGCAGTCAATAACACAGCATTTTCCCCCCAGGTGTTCTACTTGGCATGTGGGTACTGTACTGGTGATAATTCTTTATTAAATTCCCTGGGTGACTAGAATGCAAATAATATCTCATTCTATAAATAAGTAAAGTTGCCATGAGCCACAGGATGGGTGGCAAATAAATTTAATAGTAAATAAAGTGTTAAAAAGGACAAAACAAAGTTGGAAATTGTCTCTACAAGACATCTCTTTTTTTAATTCAATGGGGAGGGGAGGGAAGTGAAATAAATTGCTTCTTGCATCCTTTATTTAACAAACAATTTAGTTTTATTCAACTAATAGAAAATTGTTTGTAAATAAGACTGAGAGAGGTACCCAATAGCGGCTTGATCAGCCTTTTTCAGGTTTTTTAATAGAGACTGACTAGTAAGCAGTAGATTGTGTAGCGCTTCAAATTCTATCTCCAAAAAAATGCTTTGGAGCACATGGGAGTACAAATATAGCATCTTTCTACAGCTGCATCTTTTAGTGGGATCACAAGCGAGAGTGCTATAGAATGTCAATACTGGTTTATTTGTGTTCTTTACGCAACATGACAATCTATCTGCAAGGGAAATCAAGATTATTCCCACCAAACAACATGGAGGATTCTAGGGCTACCTCTTCCATAGGGAACATGTGATAGGTTTGTTCAGTTACACGTCCAATCATCCCTAATTAACATGCCTTGTCTAACAAAGAGGGGTGATATGATAGTCATCTTCCAGTACTGGAGGGGCTGGAAGAGAGGGTCAACCGGTGTACACTGCTTAGAGAGTGCTCGCACTTAAAAGCGGTATATAAGTCTCATAAATAAATAAATAAACCTATTCTCCAAAGCATCTGAGGGCAAGACAAAAAGTAATGGGTGAAAGATCATTAAAGAGAGATCCAACCTAGGACTAAGGAGAAATTCCTTGAGCGTGAGAACAATTAATCAGCAGAATGACTTGCCTCCAGATGTTTCGGGTGTTCCATCATTGGAAGTTTTCAAGAAGAGACTGGACAGTTTCTTGTCTGGAATTGTATAGTCTCCTTTTTTTTCCTTTTCTAATGTTCAATTTCTGTGTTGGGTAAGATGGGAAAGAGAGCTCATAAATAACCATGCCTAGATTGGCTGCTTCCATAGTGTGAACGTAGATTTCTATAACAGATTTGCCCAGGATAGAACATATGCAAATTTATTTATATATTTATTACATGCTTGCTCAGTCAATCCAATTTAACTCAATTCAATTCAATTCAAGCACTAAAGCAGTGGTGGCGAACCTATGACACGCGGCACTCGGAGCCCTCTCTGTGGGCACACACGCTGTCGCCCCAGCCCCGCCTCCCCCCATGGCCCCCTCCTCACCAGCAGCCCCCCTGGAAGAGAGTCGCCCCCGAGTGCGGCCTGCACGGAGCAGCATAGCCAAGGACATAGCCAGGCAGCAAGGACAAGACTCCGCCCTCGTGTCTCATAGCGTGTAGATGATGCTGCGGGGTATGGGCGGAGGGCGTGGCCACCATGCGCTGCAGGGCTGCCTGGGCGATCTGCTGCAGCTGGCCATGGAGGCGGTGCATGGTCCTGCAGGCAGGGGGAGGGCAGGGACAGAGCAGGCAGGACGGGAGGCGGAGTGGAAGCAGGGGCAGTTTTTGGGCACTCGGTCTCTAAAAGGTTCGCCATCACTGCACTAAAGCAAGGATAGAGAAGCTTTGATTCAAAGGTCTAATCAGACCTTAAAGGTTGACCAGTCTGATCAAGCAAGAATTCTCTGCCTCATCCAAAGTCCCATCTCTTTTCCAACTCCACCATCTCCATTCTCAACTGGGTTTGTGCTAACAAATGCTCTTATTAACAATCTGCCTTTCTCCCTTAAAGGGGAAGCATAAGCCATATAGGAAGCATGTTGCTCTTTTATTTCCCAATAGGAATCTTGCTTTATAGACCCAGGCCAAACCAATTTGCTTCACACCTATCTTCCAGGTTCTTCTACGTAGAGAAGAATTTAGGAAACCATAGCTCCTTGTGTCCTTTTCCATGCACAAGCAGGCTTAAATGATGTAGCAGAGTAGTCTGAGTTTATTTGGCTCAGTGAACTGTGGGTCTAGTCCAGGGGTAGGCAACCTTGGCTCTTTTATGACTCGTGGACTTCAACTCCCTGCTGGCTCAGGAATTCTGGGAGTTGAAGTCCACGAGTCATAAAAGAGCCAAGGTTGCCTACCCCTGGTCTAGTCCTTCAACTAAATCCAGTACCCTGATCCTGTACCAAGGAGAAGTATGCCTTTATGCAACTCTAAGGTTGATGATTTTCACTTCAGACTGTTTTTTAATCATATATTTAATTTCACCTTGAAAGAGCCTTCATCGCAGATTTGAGAGGGGCAGGCAATATGATAGGAAGGAAAATTCAGAAGTATTTCTGGATGCATATCACGTTCTGCATGGTCTCTAAAGTTCAAATTCTAATACTAAAGATAGATTATTCAATGTCAATTGAATGTGTTGTATTGAGTTTATTGAGTCTTCTAATAAATTAGTGTAGCTACATTTAATCCTTAAGTCAAACTTGCTAGGAAAGTTATTGATTGAATAGTTTAAAAGAAGAAGATCCCATGAAAGATGATTTAGTAAGATCAGAGGAGAAAACAGAAGTGTATAATAACGTATTTATAGCATGGTATTCATATGGCTTTTACAAATAGTACAATAAGCCATTAGCCCTGAATTCAGATGATTTCATATTCATTTAGAGTGTGTCTATCAATTTGTTATGGATTGATTTTCATAACTTTTTCTTTTGACCTTCAAGGGCCTGTGCAGCCCCATATTTTAATACAGATTTATGTTCCCACGAGAACATAATTTGGCTCCTCAACTGAGTATTTTATCAAATACTTTTAATGCATTTCTCTGATACCAATCTTGGAGAGGAAAGATAGAGAACAGTGCTGCTTTATCTCAAAAATGACAGTAAAACTATTCAGCTCAGTCTTTGAATCCACAATACTGATGAACTGATAAACTCTGGCTAGAAGGGCATCACTGAACTATTTTGGTTTTCTGTTTGTTGAACCATCATTCATCACATCTGCATTTTCTTCTATGTCATAATAAGCTATCAAAGTGCAACATAGCAGAACCCTTTTTATAGACTGTAAAAATCATTGCCACTTTTTTTTTTTTCATTTTCAGCCAAGCAGGGCTAAACTGCATAGGCCTACTAACTTGGAATCACTTTGTAAACGCTTCAGAGAAAAGTATACTTGTGTACAGTACTTTCTATCACTAATAATAATCATCTTCTCCATTCTGGAGGTTTGCATATGTATTGGACAAATATGAAAAGAGGAAAAAAAACCTCATCTTCCACACTTCTTTGACAGAACTGTGCCAAATGGGATAAAGCAAGATAGGAAGATGTATTTTGGCTCACAGGCAACCCTCCATGCTTTTGCACAATCCCAGCAGTTTTGAATTAAGCATAGAATCTATCTTTTGAAGCAGGAAATCAACTATTAACTAAAATTTGCCTATGTTTTGAAGTTGGTTTAACATCTTGACCCTTTCTAAAATTATTAACCATGCTTTTCTGATTTAGATGAAATAGGAAACTCCAGTTAATTGAAGAAGTGCTCGCTTTCCTCTTTCTCTTGTAGAAGCTGACCAAAGGGCAGTATGCATAGCCAGAAGGCTCATTCTTATCTCATCTTATTAAATTTAGTCTGATTGTGTGAAATAACATTTCAGGAAGCGTTATACTCTGCGAGCATTATCTGGGTGCACTAATGATTGGATTGGCAGATACTTAGCAAATATGGAATAAAAGCAAGGTAATTCCTCTTTAAGATAAGTTACATTATTTTTTCATGTTTCCTATTTCCCTGTCATTATTTTTTTCTAGAAAAACTTCCTATTGAAGCTAAATTGCCGTGGTACAAGCAAGCTCAGGAGTTGGAAGAGGGAACGGTGGTTTCTGAAGAACCAACGTAAGTTTTAAAACATCATCTGCTGAAATCATTAGACTCGGGGATCCAAGCAGCACATTACAATTATATATGATGTTTGAATTACAATGTGAAATAGACTTAAATCTGCCTGGAGCTAAGGTATTTTTTATGGCTTTCAAAATGCTACCCAATTTTGTATTGCATTTACGGTCGTATACTGTCTATGAAGAATTAAATCACAACCAATATGGTATAGTTTTGTGCCTGGATAGTTAATTCATGGAAATGTCATCTGTTAGGGGCCTTTACTCGTAGCAGGTTTTTTTTTTTTCATTTATACTTAATGCACTTATCCTAAATGTTGATGTCTTATTTCGGTTTAGTTGCTTGAATAGTACAGTACAAATATAGAAAAATATTTGTAGCTTCATGGTTGAAATGAGCTTAGTGGTCTCTGAGCCTGGTTATTTACTTGCAGACGTTTCATTACCCAAACGAGGTAACACTGATGATGTTACCTAGTTTGGGTAATAAAACATCTGCAAGAAAACAACCAAGCTCAGAGAGCACCAAGGACCCCTCAGTACAGTACAAATTTCCCATGTGCCCAAGTGCTTTGAATTTCATGTAACTCACCTTATTACTATAAGAGAGTCTCTCTTTGTGGCTTACTAATAGCTGATTTAGATGTTACATTTAGGTGTGAGGAATTTCAACCTCAAGCGTATAGTTTTTAAAAATTCAAGAATTTCATTGTGGTTTTCTCTGAACTCATATAGTTATTCACCAGGTAGCCATCATTTTTTTTTTTTAATTACCAATGTTCAGCTGAAAGCCTCAATGCTTAATATCTGTCTGACCTGGCACCATACCAAGTATAAGAAGGGAAATTTGGGAAACTGGGAGTTGAAGGGCTTAATTTAGGCAAGTGGGAATCAGGGATTCTCAGGTCAGACAGAACCATTATGTAAACATGAAGGAAATGTTTCCATCTCTCAAGGCCAAGAAAAGAAACCCAAAACTACTGACTTGAAAGGACAAGTGGAAAAAGGTCTAGGATCGAGTTCAGGAGAGTACCGGTAAATATCTATTGATATGCCAGGTGCAATAGGACAACTAGATTTGAGGAGAACAAAAAAAAACCTTCAAGGGAGGGCCTGAAAAATGGTTTAATAATTTTTTGAAGGTCTTCTTTTCATGGTATTTTGACAGTGTTGTAAGACCATAAAGGTAGCAAATTGTCTTCAGTTCTTTAAGGAGCAACTCAGAAAAAAATCAGAAGCACAGCATTGCTGATAGGAATTACTATTGAATGTATTTTTACTGTAAGATCGGTTTCTACCTTTCAACTCATATGTACATATGGATTTGATTCACTTTTCATTTTCTTCTAGAGGAAGATCTTAAGGATAATCAGAACATTGCATTTCATGTTGCAAAATGATGACATTTTAGATCTGGAATATATCTCGGTATATTATGCTGTTCAGTGTTTATGCACACATCCACTCCTAACTCTTTCATGTGTGCTTGATCTTTTACTGCATCATTGCTAGATTTCCACTCAGGCCAAAACAAGTTATTTTCAAAAATACCTATTAAAAAAAACTATAATATTTTCTACACAACTTGATATACCATAAATAACAGAATATTTCATTTCTCTATTGTGACACAATGACCTTGCCACATCTAAAAAAGCATTTCTTTATTTACTCATTTTATAATAATGCTTCATTGAAATAGTACGACTCACCCACTCATACACACATGTCACACATGTCAACGCTGCAAATATTGTATATTCTTGCTTTTGACAATATGCAGAATTGTCTGGTAACTATGGGGTTAATAAAGAGCAGAAGGGGCGGTTGGGGGTAAAGCCCCGGGAAAGAAAGAGGAAGAAAACATTTTACCTTCACACTAATTGGATAATGTGAGATATGACGGCTAATTTAAGGAGGGAACATGCTGATAATTTAACTGCTCAGAGGAAGAGAACTTAGATCCTAGCATCCCTCCGTTGTGCCTGTGCCGACATTTTGTAACAATAAAAGACTTTTAGAAAAATAAATGCCTAAAAGTTCTTTGGAATGTTTCATTAGCCGGAACCAAATCATCATGGTAGGATCTAAGTTCTCTTCCTCTGAGCAATTAAATTATCAGCTTGTTCCCTCCCTAAATTAGCCCTCATATCTCACATTATTCAATTAGTGTGAAGGTCAAATGTTTTCTTCCTCTTTCTTTCCCGGGCTTTATCCCCAACGCCCCTTCTGCTCTTTATTAACCCCATAGTTACCAGACAATTCTGCATATTGTCAAAAGCAAGAATATACAATATTTGCAGCGTTGACAACACACACATACAGTGTTGTGAACCATAATGAATCTAATCCCTATAACTTCATCTCCCTCTGCTTACAATAATATGGAGAGGTAGGCCAAAGGGAGTTAATCAGTTAAGCCTTTCCAGGAGAAATGTCCTTTAGTCTGGCAAAAGTCACCTTTTGTGAGAGTTCCTGTTGTTCAGAATCTCATCCCTGCTTTGGGCAACTCTGAGGTTCTTCAGAAAGTGAGGATTGGAAAAGTTGCAGGACAATTACAGGTCACAACTGAACCATCAGAGTTAAAAGCATCCAATAATACAACTCATAAATCTGTCTAGGGCAGTTTTAAAACCAATGAGGCTGTGACTTCCATTACCATACTGGGAAACAATTTTAGAATTTCTTTTCTCTGAATATTGGAAAACCTTTTTTCCTCCCTCATCAGTAGTTAAAGTGTGTCACTAGGCTCTCCAACATTAAAAGAATGTTTCTTTCTAGTTTCCATAAGCAATTATTTTGGTAAGAGATTCTTCTATTGTTCATAAATATGTCCTTATTCTGCTCTTGAATTGACTGCAAAGAAGTGCAGAGCATCAAGAAAGGTTATGTATAACAGAAAACTCACTGCATAACTTTGGTGTGTATGTCTTAGAGAAAGAAAGAAAAACTATTAGAGGAAATACACATGGTCCTCAACTTATAACCACAATTGGGATCAGAAAATTTGTCGTTAAGTGGCACAGTTGTTAAATGAGGCATCAGTTTATTGCACCTGATTTTAGACTTTTGCTGTGCTCATTAAGCAAATCACTCTGGTCATTAAGCAGGACATCAGATGATCATGATTTGCAACCTTCCCTGCCAGCTTCCTCATCAGTTGCCCATCATGATCGTGTGTCCATGGGATGCTTGAACCGTTATACATACAAGCTGCTTGCCAAGTGCCCAAATCACAGACTTGTGAGTGCAGGGGTGATATAACCTCAAGGGTAGGTCGTAAGTCATTTTTTTCAGAGCCATTGTAACGTCAAACCATCATTAAGAAAACGATCGTAAGTTGAGGATTCCTGTATGGTATACATGGGGAGATGTAAGATCTCAGGGAGACTTCATTTGGAAATAGAAGAAAATATGTGATATTTCACATAATTATATCACATAGAATATGTGAGGGCTAGTTGGTGCAGCGGTTAAGGTGCTGGCCTGGAAACTAGGAAATGGTGAATTCTAATCCTATCTTAGACATGAAAGCTGGCTAAATGATCTTGGGCTGTTCACTTTCTCTCAGCCCAATTTACCTTATAGGTTTGTTGTAGTGGGGAAAATAGAAAGATAAGCAAATAATAGGTATGCTTGCCACCTTGAGTTATTTATAAAAATAATAAAGGTGATAGATAAATTAAAAAAAATGTGATGTATACTGAGATCAGCGAATCCACAATATCATAGTTGTTTTTCTTGTTTTACTTAGGAACTTGGAGGTAACCTTGTCCCAAATTCTATCAAAACCACTATATCATCTGTTTTAAAATAGTTGTCCAATCGCTGTACACTAGCAGTGAAGAAGATCCTCACCCCCTGATGCCATCTCTTCCATCTTCAAAACAGGTTTTGCCATGGGCATCCATTGGATAAGGAAAAGAGGGAAATGATAATACATATGTGATGATGTCATCATGCAAATGCCACAACTTATATACTTGTGTCAGATGCTGTGACACAAGTACATAATTGCAATATGTGTTATAATATCACCACACTCATTACACTGAGTCTTGCCATTGAGAAATGTCTCTATATTTAGCAAAAAGCTGCTTTTTTTAACCAGCAGTCAAATGTACACGTATGCACCATTTCATTTTTAAAATCTTTTTTGCAGCATAATGTTTGTTCTAAAGGAACAAATGCTTTTGAACATGTGCAGTCAATTGCAGGACCCATGATTTTGCAAAAGTCATGTCTGACTGATACCGTGCATACTAAATCCTCTAAATTTGAAATTGTATTCCATGGCAGCTTCAGTTGCCTGCCCAGCATATTTTCTTTTCTGGCGCACATACAGTCCAGATCTGGCTTTTCCTAAAGGCATAATATAGTGATAGTGCCCTTTTGTTGGAATGTCTGAGGCAGAGTCAGGAAATTAAGATGGCGGCCACACCTGTGCAGTCAAAGCCACACCCTTTTATAATGCCTGTGATGCCTGCAAAATGGAGCAGTACTTCATTCTTGTACTTGCAGATGCCATCTTGACTGTTTTTAAAATTATTTTGAGAAAGTGGAATACAAACAACTATAACAACAGAACAAAGAGAGTAGTGGTTCTCCAATGAGAAAAGAATCTATAAACATGGATAGTGATTAAATAAACATAATTAAACATGGAGGGTTAAAGGAAGAAGAGGGAATGATCCATCTATTATCAAAACAAAATTAACTCGGTTGTTAACCTCACCACTCATTTACTTATTAAATTGATATGCCGCTTATCACTGTCATGCGACTCTGGGTGGCTTACAAATTGATGAAACAATATTATAAAGATTAAAACAGTAGAACAAAAAATATAACATTAAAATTAGCAGAAAATAGCTAAGATGGGAGTGATATACAGTGGAGTGGAGGTGAGATCCTATGGGTCTATATTGGAAACATACTGCTTCATCTTTTTCAAACATTTTAAAAAATTTTCTAAACCTCTCCTGAAACCACTCC